CGGCTCGCCCCTGCTCCTCCGGGGCTCGCGCGGCCCCGAACCGGCTCGGGAGCTGTGCGCTCCTCCTGTGTGTGGGGAAAGCAGCCCGGCACCCACATAATGAAGCTGCTGCAATTAGCGAGAGCCGTCAGGTGCCCTGGTATTGCATCCGCCTGGGGAGCAGCTTCACTCCAGCCCCACAGGGCACTGACAAGCTGTGCCAGGACAGCAGTGCCTGCGCTGCCCCAGGATCATGGGAGCCAGCTCCCCTGGGAGCAGCACAGGTGTGTGCATGCATGAGTATCTGCACGTACATGAGGTGTGCATGCACGCATGCGGGTGGGTGCATGCCCTGGGGGTGAGCATGCATGCACAGGTGTGCACATGCAGAGCAGTGCTGGAAGCCCAGCTCTCACTCGTGTCCCATTAGCAACAGCCACTTGTCCCTATGGGGTCCTTTGCTGCCTGTGTCCCTGCAACGTCCTGCACTGCTGCCCTGCAGCCCAGAGCCACAGTGCACAGCTGGGAGCCCTCAGCATCCCCCCGACACCAGCACTGAATGCATCCCCCTGGGAGCACATCCCTGCCCACCCCAACAGGGACGTCCCTGCGGTCCCTGGCACCGAGCACATCCCACGGTGACTTTGCCCTGGTCCCCGTGGCCAGGCCACCCCTTGCCCCTGTGCAGTAGAGCCATGACACTGGCGTGTGAATCCCATGCATTGCACACAGAGCTGGTGAATCCTGTGCACTGCACACGGACCTGGTGAATCCCATGTATTGCACGCAGAGCTAGTGAATCCCATGCATTGCTCACGGAGCTGGTGAATCCGTGCGTTGTGTGCGGAGCTGGTGAATCCCGTGCACTGTGTGCGGAGCTGCGGCGTGGTCACAGGCAGTCCAGGAGGATGCTGGAGAGTGTGAGGCACATGCGCACGTAGAAGTAGAGGCAGGCAGCCAGCGCGACCACGCGCAGTGCGTCAGGGTCGGGCAGCAGGATGAGGCGCACGAAGGCCAGCGCAGGCGGCAGCAGCTGCAGCAGGGTGACGGTGGCATTGTGACCCGGCACGGTGATGGTGAGGGGGACAGCATGGCCGGTGCTTCTGGCACCTGGGGCTGTGTGTGTCCCTCTGCCTCAGAGCAGGGCTGGGATGCACCGGACAGGGACCATCCTCATCCTGGAGCAGGGCTGGGATGCAGTGGTCTGGGACCTGCCTAGTCCTTGAGCAGGGCCAGGATGCACTAGCCAGGCACCATCCTCATGCTGGAGCAGGGCTGGGACACACTGGCCAGGGCCCTGGCCTGTCCCCCAGCAGGGCTGGGATGCACCAGCCAGGGCAGCCTCGTGGCACCAGCCCCACAGTGCTGGGATGCAAATGGGAACCTGGGGCTAGAGAGGCTGCAAGGAGTTTGCAGAGCTGCTCACAGGAAGGACAAGTCCCAGGACGGTGATGGAGATAGGGATGGAGATGGAAGGACGAGGATGGAGATGGGGATGGGGTTCAGGATGGGAAGGACAGGATCCGCACGCAGCACACGCAGAGGCGCACGCAGGTTGTGCCTGGCAGCTGTATTGAGGCTCGGGGGCCGTCACCACGCGAGCACCAGGAGGTATCGCCCCAGCGGCAGCAGCAGCTGCGTCACGCCGAGGAAGAGGAGGAAGGGCAGGAAGAGGGCGAGCAGGAAGGCGGCCACGGCCGGCAGCAGCTTGTTGAAGAAGCTGTCAGCCAGAGGCACCGCGGAGAGCACGAAGTCCAGCAGGGCCGGCAGCAGGTGGTCGTAGGCCACGAACAGCGGCAGCAGCAGGAAGAAGAGGAGGAGGAAGAGGAGGCGGAAGAGCAGGTCGCAGAAGATGAGCGTGAGCACGAAGGAGAGGAGCTTGCCGAGCGCCCGCAGGGAGCGCCGCAGGGAGGCGTGCATGCTGCGGCACCCGTGCCCGCGCGCACCGGGCACGGTG